ATACTCCATTATTCCTCTGTACCATCCATCCCTCTATACATCTCTCCTTCCATCCACCCACCCAACCATCCTTCTCTTTATCCATCTCTTGATCCATCCATCCCTCCATATTATTCATCCATCCCTCCCACCATCTATCCCTCCATCCATCTCTCCATCCATCCACTTATCCATCCATCCATCTATCCCTCCCATCATCCATCCTCCCATCCATCCATCCCTCTATCTATCCCTCCTTTTATCCATCCCTCCTTCCCTCCTTCCTCTGTACCGTCCCGTTCCCGCGCCCGTTCGCGGTAGCGGCGGCGTGGCGTGCACTTGACCCGTCTCGTTGTGTAGGATTTACGGTTTGGCCGTTGCCAGGCGTGGCCGGTCGGGTTGCCGTGTGACAGAATGCGGGCTATGTGTGCCATGTGGCCTGCCCGGCCCCAGCCTCTCACACACTTATTTTGGGCCTGATCCGAGGCCTGGTTAACCCAGATCAATACTGAATAAACACCTCAGGAATAAATCATTCATGTTACACGTCCAAACTTAGACCCGCCGGCCAACACCACAGATACTGTGACATTTCACTCTTCTGTTTCTTTACAACTCTGGCTCTTTGTACAAACAAGACATTATTGAAACTTGATAAAAGTATTGTGTTTTTACAATAATAAGTTTTATTGCAAATTCTTGCCCGAGGGCTAATTGCAAGTACAGAAGAAATAGGCAATTAATACACAAAGGATTGTTTTAACTCCTAATTATAATGGCTGTGTGGCACGCTTACATACCTGAATGATTATTGTTACTCAAGAAACAAACTCTGGCCCAACACCACAGATACTGTGACTCCAAAACTTCCCAAGTTTCTGAACATCCACATTATAATTGTCGTTCTTTTGTTACAACATTGTACAAGACTATAGTTTCAAACATTATATTTAAGACACTGTTGAAACTTTAATAATGAATTTAATAATTGTTTCCCAGCAACAAAACTCTTCCCCATGCAAGGGCTAATTGCAGATACAAACTAAAGAGCATTTAACAAAGAAATAGAAATAGTGGTAAGAATATTACAGAGTTATATATAGGAATAGTCAATATTTCCTCCAAGCAGATATGTGAGGGCCTGAGTCATTTCTGACCAACTTGAATGTGAGAGACCTAAAGATAACCTACAGAATCTGATGTTCCTATAAATGTTGTAGATTATGTTGATTCTGGTTACAGATGGCAGAGCTGGTCTGTATCCTCTCATTTTGCGATCTAAACTTCTTCCTGTGATTTCCAGGTAGATTTTACATCACTCTCTTGTCCTGTTTTCCTTTAGTAGATCTTTTTTTGTCAGGTCTGAGATAAAGACATCAGCTGAAGATGCTCGGGTATTGAACATCTTCCTTAAGAGAGCGTTTATCAGGCCACAGCCGTAAGACCTTCATTATTGTAACACCCGAGTTCTAGTGAGCGGTGTCCTATTGGTGAGGATGGAGTCAGAGCGCTGTAGTTACTGAGTTAGAGTGAGATCTGTTTTCTATGGTGTCTTACAGGCCCATTGCGCTGTATGTTCTGAGTGTGAGTGAGGTTTGACTGTAGTTACTGAGTTTGAGCGAGATTTGTCTCTTGTGATGTCCTACCGCAGTACCGGCCTTCTGGAGTCAGAGCGCTGTATTTACTGGGTTTAAGCGAGATTCGACTGTATTTCTGAGGTTAGCTTCCTGCCCTGTCCTGCCTGCCTTCTGGAGTCAGAGCACCATATTTACTGGGTTTGAGTGAGATTTGCGCTGTATGTTCTGAGTTTGAGTGAGACTTGCATCCTGCCCTGTCCTGCCATCCTTCTGGAGTCAGATCTCCATATTTACCCACATATTAACCCCTGCGCAGGGTCCCTCCCCACCACCTTTCACATTCATGAGCCGCGCTGCCGGCACACAGGACCATTGTTAACCCGCCACAAAGCGGGCTAATGGGCTTTTTGTGGGGAAACTTATTGAGTCCATTGACTTGTATCTGGTGTGTGGCTGGGCCGGGCGGGAGAGAGGCGCACATTTCCCGTGCGGACGTTATCTACGCGGCTCACCTGCGACCCCGCGATGGTTATCGCCCCGCGTTGTCTCCCCAGCCTGCCCGACACAAACGGTCCATCGCACTCCATCATTGCTGTGTTTCCTCACAGCTTCATCACTTATCATGAACATCTAAAAACCAGCTTCATCACTTACCACCAGCATTGCAAACCCTAACCCTAACCTGACATAAACAGCCCATCACCATTCCATCATTCCTGTGTTTCCTCACAGCTTCATCACTTATCATCACCAGCATCTAAAACCAGCTTCATCACCTATCATCACCAGCATCGCAAACCATTGGAGGGTTTCCTCATGTCTCCTTGGGGACTTCAACATCTGTGTCAACCATCTCTCTTCTATACACATCTCCACAAGTGTCTTGTTCCTTCAATCTCTGTCGACCATCTCTCTTTCCACAAGTCTTTCTCTCGTCCCTTCTATCTGTGTCAACCATCTGTCTCCTCCACAAGTCCCTCTCTCCTCCTCCTTCATGTTAATCTTTCTCCTCACAACTCATTCATTCTCTCCATATATGAAGGTTATCAATTTCTGTATGCATACATTAAACGCTCACAAACATGCAATAAAGTTTGGTTGGTGTATCGAGTGATTGATTAATGTGTAAGTTGATCAATGTATTTATCTATTGGTTGATCTATTGATTGATGTATTGATCAATATATTGGTGGAAGTACTGATTTATGTATTGATTGATTGATGTGTTGGTTTATTGGTGTATGGATTATTGATTTATTGATCGATTGATGTGATGATCGAAGTATCAATCTATTGATTGCTTGATTGATTGGTGTATTGATTAATTGTATTGATGACGTACTGTTATTATGTATTGTTCTATTGACTGATTGATGTATTGATTGATTGATGTACCAATTGAAGTATTGATGTATTGATTGATGCATTGATGTAATGATTAACTTATTGATAGATTGCTGTATTATCTGTCTCCTCTGCAGCAACAAGGTGCGGCCACGAGTGTGTACTGCGGCACGGCGCGGGAGCTGGAGGGTCTGGGCGGGATGTACTTCAACAACTGCTGCCGCTGCCTGCCCTCACCGGACGGACAGAACGAGAGAGCCGCCGCAGAGCTGTGGGACATCAGCGAGCGCATGCTCAAGGCCAGAACATGTAAATTCACTCTGTAGCCGGGGATGAGTCTACTGGGAGATGATCATGAAAAAAAAGTTTAAAATGCAACTTCGAGAAATTGGACCCCTAATTTTCACATTTTTGACTGTACAACTCCAGGTTTTGTGAAGGAATGAGCAATCCACCACTTCTGTGACGCGTCAGACAACACAGGTGACTCCAGTGAGCAGTGAATAAAAGGTTGCAGAAAGTCTGTGGCGCCCCCCGTCTTCGTTGAGGCATGGTTGCTGAATCTGGGGCCGAGAAACTACTGTGAAATGAAGTTTATTGAGATTTGGAAAGACACCTTGATCGTATAAATGAACAGGACTTAAGAAATCCCACATGTCCTTCCAGACTCACAGTAACTAGTAGTAAGTAAAAAAAATCTCCAATTGGAAATGATGCAAACTGTGAAATTAAAACAAACTGCCTCTTTAACATTGTGCAAGCAAGAAAACTCAGCAGACTCCACACGTCTGCTTCGAGACAGGCGCTGACAGAAGCCTGTTGTTTCCCTGCCTGTTGCATAACTCATGGGCCGTACCACTGGACAGGCGGGGGTCGTCTCTGCCCTGCGGCAAAATGACGCGATGGCAGAAATATGTGCTTTTAATCACCCCTAACTTCGGAGTCAGTCTTCTTCTACGGTAAAGGTTCAAAATCCGTGCTGTTGAGCATGTGAGCAGAGTTGTCCCCGACATGTGTTACAATGTGCAGAGTGGGTCGGACATGACAAACTGGAGTTGTTTGGAGTCAGCTGAACAGGCGCTCTGTTCCTCGGGGTTTGGGAGAAGGTCACTCGGGCATTACTAAAGCTGCATTGTGCTGGGAACAATGGCAGTCTGGGCTTAACTAACACAGCTGGGCGGTTCACGGCTTCTCAACGTTTAAAACAACAGAACGGTGTGAGGAAAGGACAGAAGTTTTGGTGATCATTCTTTAAGCCGCTGAAAATCCTTGTTTAAGCACAGGATTATTGGAGTTAGGATATATTGTGTACTTATACTGTTCCGAGGCATAATCATATGTGCAATAAGAACAAAATGTAAATTTAGGATTTTTTTTTTACTATAAGAGCAAACTTTTTGAAATCTATGAAACATTTATGAAACATTAAATTCTTTTACAAGCGATACATTATATACCATTTATGGTATTAAATGAATAGGCTGTCTTTACAAAGTCACTGTTGGAATTGTTATCTTCAGCCCAATAAAATAAAAGCATATCAGTGTTTTATCCAGAAATTTGTATGTCCTCTTGTGTACTTCTAATTTTTTCTATAAGTACAAAACTTAAAACATACAATACACTTTACACCAGGGATGATTGGATCAAATAACAATGGAACAAAACACCCAATAAAGCCGCCAATTGGAGTGTAAGTGTTAATTGAGTTACTGACTCCCCAGTCAATAGAAACATACACTATAAACCATGGGGTGGTCGACATGAATAAAATACCTGCTGTTTTTATTACGGCTTGTTTGTATTGTTCACATGTTTCTTTGTTTTTTTTTCTCTGAACTGTAAACATGTAAACAAACCCACTCATTACTTCCTCTTCCAGGGAATCTCAAGTCACGCAGAATCATCAGTTGGTCTTTCAGAGATCCAAGCTCTAGCAGCAAAGTGCCTTAAAACTCAAACTGGCCTAGTCTCTACCAGCTGCAGACTTCCAGTTGGTCAGCTAGTGAGTTCGAGTGCGGCAAACTGTACGGACCAACTCCCCTGGCATGCTATCTCTCTATCCTTGGCGAATTTCTATTAAAATTCTACTCTTTCCAGCTGCCTCCCGAAGCCTGGTAGAGGCTAAAGCTGGCCTAGCACCCTAAAAACTGTTGTTGAGAAATGAAGTCAACTTGCACTGTTTTGTTCCCTAGCCTCAGGCAGAAGTTGTTTTCCGTCAGGCCTGCATGTTTCAGCTGAACTGTTCTGCCTTCAGGCAAGTTGGTTTTTAGCCCTTCTTCCACAGGGTTTCCACTGGTGGTGTTGGGCCAGACCAAATCATTTCTTTGGTTCTCAGACTTGAGAGTTGAGAGTTCAAGATAAAAACAGAGGGCTGGGAAGAAAACCTCCCAGTAATATTTATATATATTCAGTCATTGAACCTGTGTGTACTATTCAGATGCAGACTTTCCCTGGGTGCTGCATAGGGGATAACGGTTTAGTGATTGCCAAAACTTATGCCAAAGTATGATGAACCACTTAAAATTCTCAAAGTAAAGATTACAAATGACATTAAATTATGAGGTTTAAAGGTTTGAGGCCTTAGCCATAGAGGTAGCCAGCAACTTTAGGGAGCTGGCAGAAAATATGGAGGATGGTACCCAGGCTGTTGAGACCTATGAATTACGAAGAATCAAAAGGCCTGATTACACCTTACGATAAAGGGCATACCCACAGGCCCATGTTGATCTTACAGTTTATAAAATATGTTTTTGTTCCATAGAACCGGCAAACTGCGTTGTTCCTGCCCTACCTGCAGGCAGTGGTTGTTCCTGACAGTCAGGCTGGCAGCACCCAGCAGTCCCAGCCTGCTGCTGACCTCTGACCTACTGGCAGGTCTCCAGACAACCCCAACAGCTGGGACTCAGCAAGTGGCAGGAGCTCTCGCTCCAAGCAGACGTGCTACGTGTGTTTCATGCAGCTGAAAGTAATAGGAGCAGTAGAAACAGGAAAACCCCTGACACCCGCACCGAACCCAGGCAGCCAACTTACATATACACCAGCGCGCTATAAAGGATTGCTCCATGAGGTTTGCAAGAAGCCAGAGCCTAAGATCTGCTTGGAGTTTGCGGAAGCACCTCCTTGTTGGTACTCTGCACACACTTGAGACTCGGTCACCACTTCCTTATTCCCGGCTTACTTCCTTGGTCTGTGTCTTCAGGCAAATGTCAACCCAGATGTTTCTTATTTCTGCACTGCATCGTTCCCCAGAACTGAACTTAAGTTTCAGTTTCGCTTCTTACGTATCTCACATCACTTGAATATGATAAGGCCACGCCAGATTAACTGGCTGTTTCTACAATTTAAATAACAAGCAACAATTTTTACTGAATTGGAAGAAAAATAGTCTGAAAAGAAAGTCTATGATAATCTATCTTGTTTTACCAAGGAGGTTTTAGTGATTGGCTTTAGTCAGACCCAAATTTTTCTCCCAGCCTCTGTCATCCTCTTGCCCACTTGTTTGTTTCATACATGGTGTACTTTATACAGCCTGATAACCAGTGAACTGCCTTGGAGTGGCCCGATCAGCCTGCCTGTTCCTTGTGCTCCTGAAGTCTGGCCCAACAATGAATGAATGACGACCTTTTTTGCACATTTTGCCACATTTGTCTATTAAAGTACAGGTCACAACAAAACATGATGAACAGATACGCTTAACAGATACAGTACAAAGCGAAATCAACTATCATTGTATAAATTCAACTTCTCGCTTTTCAGTTATTGTAGAAATAAAAGAACAGACGATGGCTGGTTTGTCTACTACAGTCCACACAATAAGTTCCCAGCATGTTGGCTTCAGGACCTTCAGCTGGCTGCCAATATGGTTTGTGTGTTGGACTCAGCAGGGCGGAACTGAGACAATGGCACAGCTCCATACATTTCACCCCTGGTTAGCTTCAATACCGGGACTGTAGTCTGGGACACAGCCTCTTTAGGGCACAGCTCCATACATTTCACCCCTGGTTAGCTTCAATACCGGGACTGTAGTCTGGGACACAGCCTCCTTATGGCACAGCTCCATACATTTCACCCATGGTTAGCTTCAACACTGTAGCCCGGGACACAGCCTCCTTAGGGCACAGCTCCATACATTTCACCCATGGTTAGCTTCAACACTGTAGCCCGGGACACAGCCTCCTTAGGGCACGCTTCCATACATTTCACCCATGGTAAGCTTCAACACAGGGTCTATTACAGGGACTGTAGCCTGGGATACAGCCTCCTTAGGGTACAGGAATTGTTTTACATTACAGATGCTGTACTTGTAGCCAGGACACTGCCTGCCTCCTTCTGGCACAGGCTTTGTGTTAAAGAACTGATACAAGTAGCCTGGGACCCTGCCTCCTTAGGGGACAGGGTCTGTTTTACACGACAGATACTTGTAGCTTGGGACACTGACTCCATATGGCACAGGCTTTGTGTTAAAGTGTACAGGCATTGTTTTACATTACTCTATATAGCCCGGGACATTGACTCCTTAGGGTACTGGCTTTGTGTTAAAGCCTGGAGAACAGATACATGTAGCCTGGGACCCTGCCTCCTTAGGGTACTGCGTTGTTTTACATTACAGAAGAACTTTACAGATAGACTGGACCCTTCCTCCTAAGGGCATTGTGAGAAAGGACTTGTACATTTATTTGTACATGTAGTCTGGGACCCTGCCTCCTTAGGGTACAGCTCTGAGTTAAAACAATGGCAGTGCTCCATATGTTTTACAGGACAGATAGCCTGGGAACCTGCCTCCTGAGGCTACGCTTGGTTACACAAGCAGTGAACATTGCCCAACTCTGCAGCCTGTTGCCAGGGGCAACGCTCTGTCCTTCTACTGCAGCTGATGTACAAGGTCACTCTGTTCTCTGTGACCTCTAAAGCCAGTTTTGTAGGTCACTGGAGCAAGCGGGAAAACGTTTTGTGACAGGAAGTGCTTCACTTGTGACTCAGTCTGCTTATCTGATGTTGGCTTCCGATATCAAGAGTCATTCAAGGGTAACAAATGGGAGCAGATGTTTTATCAAGGAAGTTAGAAATGGGACAAGTTTTTTTCTGTGAATTGGCAAAGACATTTATAGTTTTATAGTTTAAGCTTGTTCCAACACAAGGAAAGAACTCACCATAAGTTTTCCTTGTGTTGGAACAAGCTTAAACTCTATATCTATGGATTCTACCAACACAGATGAGCTTTCATTCGAACAAGAAGAATTGGCTGTAGAAATTTCACTGGAACAAACACTGAATCAGGGTAAATGTTACTCTCGTACTTTGGAATTGTTATAAAGGTGTTGACTTAATACAAACTTTTACATGTAGCAACAACAAGAACAAAACCTTCACGTAACTGTGCTTTTTTTCTACGACCTTGCAAGAATTTGTTGGTTTCATTGTGAAGTTTTATCTCTGAGCGAACTTGTCACAAGGCCACCTGGAGCCACGTGTCTGAGGCTCTGTGTCTCATGTTCGAGTTTCCTGTTCGGAACAATCTGCTCAGCGAGCCACAAGGACAGACGAGCGATGACCTTGATAATCGCGTCCTTCAGACACAATAGAAATGTCGGGATGACACGACGGAGTCACTGGCGCGAACTTGACTTTGGCCGGCTGCTGGAAAAACAAATTTGGGGCAAGATGATAACATCATCGCAATTTTCTCCAGATGTGAGGCTTGTTTTGTTGGCCACTTCCCCAAAACTTTCCCCCCAAACTCCTCCCCTCTGTTCTGTTTTGTAATTATTAGCCCTAAAGCAAGGATAGGCCACTATTTAGTACAAAAATAGTTTATTTCATCACATATTTCAAGCACAGCTGGCAACTCCACATGTAGACCCAACTGTGATCGGCTGAGCTGCTTTTTTCTGATAGCCTCAGTTCTAATTGTACTTGGTTTCTTGTAAACTATCTTTGGTTACTTGTATGGCTTGTTAAAGTAAGGATAATCTCCAAGCAGATCCCATGGTGGAAAGATGGTTACGTACATCCATTACCCAACATTGGCCATCCTGTATACATATGTCATGTATATTAGCCACCAGAGTGGCAGATGGACACTCCATTGGCCAATGTTCACAGCTCTTGCCCATGGATACTGTCGTGCCACCGTAGGATCTGCTTGGAGATCAGCTAAGAAGGCTATATAGAGAACCCCTCCCCCCAACAGTCCAGTCTCCAGTCTCCAGTCTACCCACATCAGTGCCGCCTCGTTAACCTGTTCCATTGCAGGGTCGTTAGTCGTGTTCGTTAGCTGGGTCCACTGCCAGCCTGCTGCCTGCACGGTGCACTCTCCTCCCTCAAATCTCATTCCTGCAGGAATTTCCCCATAAAAGTGTTGGGAGCCGCTGCATTCCTGTGCAGGGACTGGAGGAAATCGTGTTTGTGCAGAAAAGTTGTTTTCTGTGAAGTGAAGTCGACTTGTACAAGGAAGGAGCTTGTGAGCTGAAATATAGTAAAGTATGGAGATTGACAAGTCTGAGGTTGGGAACTTCAGCCAGACACTTGTTACAAACTCTGGTGTCAAGGATCTGCACAGCTGACAAAAACTTCCTTAGGCTACACCAATTTGATTTGTTGATTCTCAGATTTTTTCAGAAAAAATATGAAGCAACAGGGCAAAAAAAAACAGACCTAGGTACTAGTATCCTATGATAGCCCCAATGATGAAGCCATGAAGTCAACATACCAGCCAGGCTTGTAATTACCTTCGCCAAGAAGGTTATGTTTTCGTAGGCGTTCGTATGTGTGTCTGTCTGTAAACACAATAACTTGAGAAGGCTTAAATGGATTGACTTCATATTTGGTAGGTGGGTAGGTCTTGATGAAACCTTGAAATGATTAGATTTTGGGCCCCCTAGCGGCTTCTTGTGGTACTGCAGCTGAACTTCCGGTTTTGATATCTCATGATCTAGACGTGCTAGGGTCACGAAATTTGGATGGTAGGTAGGTCTTGTGCTAGGGAAGAAGTGACATAGGTTTGGGCCCCCTAGCGCCTTGCTCGGGTACTGCAGGGGCATTTCTTTGAAAATATTCATAAGAGGATAACTCAAGAACCGGTGGATGGATCGTCGTGATTTGTGGTATGTAGGTAGCTTAAGTGACGCTTGACATAATTATGTGACAATTATGCAAATATGGATGTAATTTGCATAATTAATGAGGAAATTCTATAAATCAGCTGCATTACATTATAGGACTATTCAAGCTTGTGACATATGTAATTGAGAACGAGAGAAACACAGGCAGATATTGATTATGTAAATTAACACTTAATTTGCATAATTAATGAGAAAATGTTATAATTCCATAATAGTAACTGCCTGGAATTTCATACTTGGGGTATTTGAAAGTTAAGTGAAGGTGAACATCATTAAACATATTACTGCATAATTTATGACGAAATGATAGAATGGCTTTCTTTGGTAAGATAAGTCTGTCTATTGATGGAGAATATAATCAAGTAAATCAACTGATATAATTCATGCAAATGAGGATCCTATTTGCATAATCAGGAGGAATAATCTTTACTTTGTCATAAAGATTAACATCATTTGGCGAAGGTATGAGATCGTGGGACTCTAGTTCTCAATAAATCTCAAACTTTTAATCAAACAACTGCACTGATAGATGGAAAAAATGAAACAACTTGGAAGAGAAGGGACTTCCTTCAACTGTTGGGGCAAAAATATGAGCATTTTGATTCAGAGCCTAACATGTTTTTTACCAGATTTTTTTTTTACATCACCAACCTCTAAGGATTTTAATCATTGCAAAAAGTACTTCCTTACATAAGTCTCAAAAGATCAACCAGACAACTGACCTAAACTTTTCACCCTGCAG